TGGAGTTTGCAAATGCCATACAACAAAATCAAACCTCCCCCTTCCCCCTCCCCCAAGAAGAAAACCATGATCACTTGAATTGTTTTGATCGAGTATGTCTTGGTTTGATTGGTTTGGTCAGCAAACTTTAAAAAAGGTTCTGTGTTTGATTTTGTTCCCTGACTGAACTGCATTCAAATTGTTCTTTTGAGTGATGTCATTAAGTTATGTTAAGTCTGATTATTTTTTTTTTAATGAATTAGACTGAGATTGGGTGAGTGCAGGTCGTGTGAAGAGCACAGAAAGTGAGAGGATTGGCCTGTTCCCAAATTTAAGTTTCCAACCCATGCTCTTTCTGGAACACAGCTATTATTGTACACTTTGATGGATTTTCATAGTCTCCATCAAACACATTCAATGTCATGCTGTATAGTTGAAAGAGATTCACTTGAAATGGATGCATGTTAAGGCCCTCTGAAATCATTTTTAAATTAATTCTTGCAGCTTGGCATCACCATTCCTTGATGTGTTAGAAATGATGCTGGAGGGAGCAGATGATAATGGTAATGATGATGATGATGACAGTGATCACCACAGTAATGATGGGAACTCTGGTGATGAAGTAGAATGCAGTGATAATAGTGAGGACTACACAAATCTGATGTCAGATGTTGATTTTCCAGTTGATGATGAAGATGAACAAGATGCCAACAGTGAAAATGACAGCAGCAGCAGGAAAGATGAAAGTGATGAACTATTCACTGGATCTGAGGAAGACTGACATGATTGTTGACAAAATGTACACTTTGGCTCACTATCTTTTTTTATATTGCTCTTACTAACTATTTAAAATGGTACACTAGTACACTATATTAAGATCTTTTCCCAAATAAAACAGTTAACAACAGCAATCTCTTAACAGCACACAGGCAGAGGAAGTTTGGCTTTTCTTTGTGTGATAATGACCTGCTGGTAAGGAAGCAAATTTGGGAAGTATTCAAGCCAATGCAATTTTTTAGAAAGAAACAGAATGATTTCCCAATGATTTTCACTTCATTTATTAATAGAAAGTCTTTGATTCATTTAGTACCACTCTTTTCATCAAGCCTTGCAATAAATCATTTGAGCTCAAAATAGTCATGTGATTTAGTTGTCTTATATATCATTTTTGTAATATTTTGTTTGTGAAGGTTAACTGTATCTGACTCCATCTTCGATTAAATATTGTTGGTAATTCTTTGAAAAACATTTAATGACATCAGCTCTTCTGAACTTCATACCTAAATATTTTTTTTATTTTTTCCTGGGAATGAAAGTTAAAATAAAAAAGAAGCAGTTTTGATGTAATTGTAGATCACCAACCACAAATCTAGGAAATTCAAAAGAAACATCAATAATATTATGTTGCTGGATTGTTAAATCAACTGTCATTAATTATTAACTTAATTTTTTTTTTCGAGACTTAAACATTATTTTTGTGCTAGGATTTGAACGGGTAGTATAGTGTTCCAGTCCTACTCAATATACATACATGGAGTTTGTCATGGTTTATATAAATGGTTTACCATACCACTCTCTTTTAGAGGAATGACTTAGCAAGCATAGGTGATAGGGGTACTGAAGAGAGAGAGAGAGAGTTGACTATATTAAAACCACTCTGACTAATACCTTCTGCTGTCGTCACTATACTCTTGAGCAAGCTTCATCTCAAACATTCCAATCACACGGTGATAATCAGAGTCAACATCCGATCCTCTGTTGACTTTAAAATCAAAAAGGGTTTTTTTTCCCACTTCTTTGAGACTGTGATGTGATCCATTTGATTGTACTAGTGAAGGAAGGTGTAGGTAATGTTACTTTGTGTATTTCCTTGTGTTGGAAGAAGGAGCCTTCAATGGACAAATCGTTGAAGGTGCAGCAGTCAATGAATGTCTTCATTCTCATCGATCTCTTCTAGTGCTTCTTTTCCCATTATGTCCTCTCTACCGCTGTTGCACGCTCCGCTCTCTTGTATTGCCCCCACCCATTTGTATTGACGTGTTTCTCTTCGAAACCTTTCTCAAGTCCCCCCTAATTATAGGCCCTTATACCTGGAAACAAAAAAATACACCTGGTTATAGCCCCCTCCCCCCCCCCCTTACCCAAAATACCCCTTTAATAACAATGCTCATGTACTGTAGGGTATAAATTATTAGCCACTACTAGGTGATGATCACCACTACTAGGTGATGATCCCGTAGAGATATATTCGCAACATGACTACCTCCCAAATATTAAAGTAAAGTAAGAAATCAGAAATCGCCATAAAATCAAAACGAGGGAATCTTTGTACGTTTGTTAAATGAGCCACAGATTGAATCATCGCAAAATGCGTTTTGCACCAGAATCCCATATTTTGCGTTTAAAGTTTGTTCGCAAAACATGGTTTTCATCGATAAGACACAGATCGAGTTATCGCAAAATGTGTTCCTAAAATGTGCCATAGTTTGAGATATCGCAAAACCTGGGTTCTCAGAAGTACGTTATCCGAAAAATTCGTCAAGAACCAAAATTAATTTTCCAGTGGAGTGTTTGTGTCTCGCGAATTTGGAAAATCGTGCTCATCAAGAAACCATATTTTGAGGTGTCGCATTCTGTGGCGTTAAATGAAGTCGCAGTTTGCAACATCGCAAAATACGTTTTATACAAGAATCCCATATTTCGCGTTAAATATTTCATCGCAAAATATGGCTTTCATTAATTAGACACAGATTGAAACATCGCAAAATGTGTTTTATACCAAAACCCCATCTTTTTGCTATAAGAATCTGATCGCGAAACATAGCTTTCATTAATCAGACCAAGATTGAGTCGCCGCAAACTGCGTTTTATGCTAGAAGTCCCATATTCCGCGTTTAAAGTTTAATCGTTGACAAAAATTACAATACCTATACACAATTACGTTTGGAAACTTGTTCTCAATTGCCCATAAATGAAAGGAAAACAGAACAGAATAAATAAAATGAGCCCGTCAGCTATGGATGCTGGCGTTCTAGATCAGTCCCTTTACTAATCAGTTAAGTAGTAGGACCTCAGCTAAATTGTGTGGAAGACTACTTATACCATATATTGCGTTAACGCGATTTATATATGGCTCTAGTAGATGTACCACATTTTGCGAGGTTCGTTCTCCGGTTTAAAAATATGTCTTACTGTTCTTTTACCAGGTTTTGCGTTATTGCAAATTGTGGTTTCAAAAGTAGAGGCTATACCGTCCATACTTTTCATACCACAGTTTGTAATAACGCAAAACCTGGTAAAAGAATAGTAAGACGCTTTAACGCGATCGCAAAATGTGGTACATCTACTAGAGCCACAAATTGCGTTAACGCAATATATGGAATAAAAAGTATGGACTATAGCCTTTACTTTTTACAACACATATTACGTGAAAACGCAATTTGTGGTCAGTAGATGTATCGCATTTTGCGATCGTTCATTAAATGAATTAAAAGATGGAATAAAGACGTTCTTGACCAAACAGCCTGTTCACAATGATATTCAGGCCCATTCTGATCCTCAGAGCCGCTTGTCCTTCTTAGCCTGTGCACGAGAAACAAGTGGTTCTCGGGACACATGATTTGGTCGGCCGGATTTGAAAGGGAGTTTAAAATCGAGCCAGTCGAAGCAACAGTTTCAAACTCCTGTATAACAAAGTAATTTTACGACGGCTCCTTTGATTGGCTGTTCTTTTTGTGTAAAACCGGCCAAGATTCTCGTGCACGGGCTCAGCCGGCTAAGAGGGACAAGCGGCTCTGGCGACAAGGATGATGCAAGCCAAGGAAATAGAAATAAAGTCGGGTGAAACGGTTTAACGAATGCCATGCGGATCCAGACAAAACTCTACGTTGTGAAAGACATCTAATCGCCGTAACGTTGTCATTTCAAAAAGGAAAAAGATACAAGCAAAACGCAAAAAAAAAAAAAACAATAACAACAACGACAGGAAGTAATTAGGCACGTGATCTACATTCCCTTATTTTAATTGAAATGAGCTACATAAATCAGTATTGCGCATGAAAATGGCACCAGAAAAACTTTAATTTATGCTAATTATTTATTTCAATTGCAGTATTAATTTGTAGCAATAGACGGTTGTTAGTGTTGAAACGTATTATCATTTAACTAACTCCATTTTGGTTCTTTGCTTTGGTATTGACGTCAATGCAATAAGGTGTAAGCAATATGCATTCCACCGCCCGTACAGGACGATTATTTTATAACAACCTCAATCAATAGTCGATACAACGGGCGTATTTACTTGCAATACACGCGCATTGCCGTCACAATTGCAAGTTGGAATTCTTGTCCTCGCGCTAAAACAACATAGTATTCCAGCGGGCAAATGCGACGGCTAAACGCGTATAAAGACGCCCAGTAACATAACCCACGATTAAGATCCTGTTAAGCTAAAGAACCTCTTTAGCCTTTAACTTCAAGAACCTCTTAAGCCGACAAATGGAAAAGGTTCTTTTTTGTTTCCTAAAATCGAAAACAAATGTTTATTTTTAGGGAAATAAGATAGGCCGACATTCTGGATCCTCTTTGGAGACACCAAGCGGCCTTTAACCCTAACCTGGGAAGAAAGGGAGACAAACAAGGACAGGGAAAAGGAAAGGGAAAGCGAAAGAAGGAACGGGAAAATGGAAACGAGGGAGAGATGGAAACAGTATAAATGGTGTTGTATGGTGTCAGAGTAAAATTGTTACTTCCATGCGTCAAAGGTCTTACAAGAAAGGTATTTGTACATTTGAAGTGGATCAAATAAGGGCCTGAAATAGTTTTCATTTAAATCATGACAGCACCTCCAGAGAATCAGAGGAGTTCCATGCAAAAACTAAAATGGAATGCGTCGTGTATTTTCCTTTTTTGAAATAAATCAAATGAAATGTATTTTGATCCATGGGTGAGAAGTATTAAGGTATACACATGTAGATCTCACTAAGTGTTCCATCAAAAATTTTGCACACTGAATAGCTACAATAGGGAATAATCAATATCTGTCCTATGAAAAGTTTTTAAAAGATTATTACTATAAAACAACAATGCGATAAACTGTAAGTATCTCAAATTTTACGTTAATTTCCTCTCGTTCACTGCCGAGCAAGAAGCAAGTGGAGGAAACGGCAGAAATACTGGCCAGTAAAACCAATAACAAGTATTGAGAAGCCACATGAAAATTAAACTTCAAGATGCTACTTTTCATGCATAAAATGTTGAGCAAAACTACCACAATGAACTGCAGGCATATATTTACATGTACATCGAGAAAACTGCCAGGTAAATTGACCAGTTATTGTTAAGTCTAAATAATTAAAAACACCAACAAGATGTAATTCAAGCACTCCTACAAATACGGCACTTGAAAACAACCAGTAACAAAGTAACCAGTCAAGATTCATGCAGGAAAGCAGGGAAATTTTTGTTGGCCACCAGCTACCTTATACAAGGCTTTAACTTATTGATAGGAATTAAAATGTAGTCAATGATTTCAGGAACAACATTCATCAATTTTGTTTACTAGTGTTTAAAAGTTTGTATAGTTTACCGGGTTTAACTTCATTGTACTGAGAAGAGATGCTGCTAACATCAAACCCATGACGTTGAAATAATAAATAAATAAATTTACGTTGACTGTAAATGGAAGTATTTCGTCCTTTGGATGACTTAAAGTTCCTCATTAGCATAGTCCAATCTCTTAATGGTGGACAATGTTGGCTTCCAAGCTCCCAGATCTCCTTCACTTGCTCCAGACTTTCAACATTTCTTGGAATTGTTAATGAATTTAGCCAGTCTAAACAGGATTGACCAGGAAGACCATATTTGGCATGGATGTTAAGAGTCACAGGATCTAATACCACAGAAGAGCATGCTGGTGGCACTTGATGATACAAAACAGATGAAACTGAGGGTGAAGATAGCTGAAGAGCTGGAGCAGGAGAATTTTGATGAAATGTCTGCAAGGCAGTGGATGCAGTGGATGAAATGACTGGGCGGAATATAGATGAAATTGAATAATTATGGACACTTGACTGTGAAGATGAAGGCTGACTACATGACGGATGTGACAGGCTTAAAGATGATGAAACTTGTTGTAATGGTGATGGTGTGACTTCCACTGGCAAGGATGAGATAGAGGGAGCTTGAGGAGGCAATGTTGCAGGTTGTCCAGATAATGTGGAAGGTAGGAGTGGAGTTGATGAAGATAGCTGAGCATGAAAAAACGGAGACGCTGTACAACCAGTAGCAGAAAAAAATGGAGGAAATGACAGAGAATGCTGACCAAATGGCAGAGTATCTGCAGAGGAAGGTTGAGGATTTACTACTGAGCGGGAAGACTGCTGATTAAATGAGGATAAAGGATGCAGGTCCTGTTGCACTGATAGTGGAATAACATTTGACAACAAAGATGCACAAGTTGTAGCAGGTGGGTTATGACTGGATAAAGATGACCTAGATAATGTAGGTGATGTGGATACAGAAGATGTCAAGGTAAATGATGTTAATACAGATGATGTCAAACTAGATGATGCCAATGTAGATGATGTTGATGCAGATGATGGTGATGCAGATGATATTGATGCAGATGATGTTGATGCAGATGATGTTGATGAAGCTAACACTGATGTAGATGATGTTGGTGTTGACAACGTGGATGATGTGGAAGTGGATAATGATACGGTACATGTAGGCTGCCCTGTATTGCTGGCCTCCATCATTGAAATAAAAACAGATGACCAATACAAAATTTGACGGGCAGCATTCAGCGCTGAACTACAGGCTGTTCCATCTGGAGTCTCAGGAGAGGCCTGAAATGTTTGCAGTTGAGAGGACACTTCCCTCAAGGAGTTAATAAATGGCAACGTGTGAAGTGATGAAGGCCCCTCCTTTCTGGTATCAGTGATGGCTGTTATCCCAACAACTGCTTCATAATCTTCCACTATTCTTGGAATGGAACGGTGGCCATCACTGTTGAGAATTTCTCCGATTTCAGTTGACCCCCTTAGCTTAGATAGAAAGTCCATGAATTCACTGTCCTGTGCACAAGAAAAGAAATAAAGTAGAAAATTTAAAATAAAAACTCTGCAATGAATCGATTTTGTACCTCAGATATAAAATTATCCTGGCATGATCATAATGCAGTACGTGTCCAAACCCAAGCTACTGTAAATTGTAAGTCAAAATCAAGCCAAAGGTAATCAAGAATGCGATCAATGTGGATCTAATTTCTTTTTTCTGCATGAGTTTCAGAGGTTCAGTTTTACAGTGAAATCACCCATTAAGTGTAATGAAGTATTTTTATAACTTATATAAATTGACTGAAAAAACATGCAGTGTTTAAAAATGAATATGTTTTTAAATGGGTGGACTCTAAAAACATGACGTATTGAAACATTGAATCTTGACCTGTTGAAAGCAGTGAATAGTAAAATTAACTTATTTTATTTGCTATTTATTTATTTATTTACAAAATTCGCCTTGAGGTAGGTGGGCATACAATAGAACCCTAGGTCCCCTGCTAAGTAAACCCACCACCTAACCATTTCCCTAAAAAATTGACAACCCTTCCCTGGAACCCTGATAAAAATAATAATGAAAAAAAAAAAAAGAAAAAAATTTTGAGAAATTAACAAGAACAACATGTTATAGTATTGGCACAGTGACACTTCAGACAGACTAACTCATAAGAACAAATATCATAATGATTGAACATTGAACTTAGTCTATCATAAAAAACCATTTTAACTTTTTCTTAAAAGGAACTTTACCTCTGATCTTATAGCGATAGGTAATGCATTCCACAGATTAGTTATTCGGATGAAGAAGGAATCATGGAAAAGAGATGTTTTAGCAGTTTTGTTGTTGAGAAAAAGCCCAGAAGATCCCCAATGGGAACACCCACTATAAAATTGAGCAGAGTTATCTAAATTAATAACAATAATTCCATAAATACACTTGTAGAGAAATAATAATCAAGATATTCCAGCCAGTAGTTGAGAGGTAGGAGGTTAAGGTTCAAGAATCTGTCCTTGTAAGAGAGTTCAGAGTTCTTGCAGATAAAACGTGTAGCTCTCCTTTGGATATTTTCTAATTCTAGCATCAATGTAGGAGATTGTGGCGCCCAAAGCTGTGAGGCATAACACAGGTTAGAGCACACAAGGGAGATATAAAGTAGCTTCAGAGACTCCTTATTGAGGTCACCCGAGCAGTTCCTTTTTAGGAATCCCAGCATTCTTTTAGATTTTGCAACCACCTGAGCAATGTGTGCAGTCCACTTCAAGTCCCTCAAGACAGTGAAGCCAAGGTCTTTTGCAGAAGAGACAAATTTAAGATCCTTATCCATCAACCTAAATAACCTTTCTGAGCTTTGTCTTTTTCTTGTTATTGTGAGGTTTACACATTTAGATGGTTGGAAAAAAATCTCATTATCAGTCAGGGATCAATTCTGCAAGCTATTCAGGTCATGTTGGACATCAAGGAAATCAACTTGGCACATATTTCCTAGATAGCTAGAGCAAAAGTCAACAGAAATAGGGAAATTTTTCATGAAAAACAAAAGACTTTAAGAACTTTGATAAACAAGACAAGAACATTATTTGTAATGAAAAAAGCCAAACTTAAACCACTTAATGCATGTACATGTAGCTATGAAATCCAGAGCTGAAAGTGTTTCTAGTTAATTTTTTTAAACAACCTGTAGAGTCATCATATTTTTATGAATATGTAGAGAAAAAAGAATTTACCTCATCATTTCCATCACTTTCTGAATCAGAAGCATCTTCATATTCAGATGCTGATGAATTCTATAAAATAAGCAGCACAAAAAGATGACAATAAATTTATTGCTCCATTTTAAGTGCTTTTAAAATTATATTGTATGTACAAATGAACAGTGAAGCCTACACACTGAATTAAACACACCCTTGTTGAAGGCACAAGTGTAGTAACTTGTCACAATAGTAAGAGAGCCCCAAGTGCAATAGCATTCAGTCAAATTTGTCAAAGAAAATACTTGATCACCATTCAACAATCTCAAGGAAGGTTAACAAGTCTATTCACCCACTGACAGTCATTATAAATCTAAACTTAACTTCAGCAGTACAAGTTACAATGCAACCATACTACCTTTGCTCACATCAATTTTAAGACTTTTCTTTACAGAAATGCAATAACATTTCAGTGGTTATATGTCTCACAAACTTAATTCACAAACTAAGATGCAACCACTGTGCACACTTATTACAATTAAAGTACATAAAGCTGTACCTCCACTTCTTCCTGTTCTTCTTCTTCTTCAGACATTGGTTCTTCAGGCAACATCTATGATATAAAATGATTTACTTGAAAACAAACGAAAACTGTTCCATGTGGAAAATGAGGAAAGCATGATACATATTAGCTATTAATGTAAAAGTGATCACTTGCTTTCTCCTCTCCTCCCCCTAAAAACCACTGGCAAATTACTGGTCATTGCAGAGCAAAACCTGGGGGTTTATTAGCACAATAACCCACTAGGAATGCTAGGATAGCATGAGAAAAGTTTAAGACTCAAGACTTGACTGAAAGCGCTGAAAACGCATAAAACTAGAAGTATAATTCCGGTGCGTCCAAGGACTCCGCACAGGCTTTAACAATAAGGTTTCTGGGTAAATGTTAACTAAATGAAAAGACATGCATGTTATTAATGTTATTCCAGTCTGGTGAAAGCAAAACTGTTTATTGTGTCCCTTTGCATATGTTTGTTTCCGTGTTTTTGGTTTTTTCCTCTGATTACTTCGCTCCAACTGGGGTGGGCCGGAATTGCCATTTTTGTGATCCACCCTCAGGAAGTTTTCCTGGTGGTCAAGCATTTTGTAAAATGAAGGATAGTAAACACAATAGCCTACATTTGGCAAAAAATTATGCACGGATATTTGTAGTGAAATACCTTTGGATGTTTGTTTTGATTTGTACATAAGTAGTATAAAGGGTAATTCGTATAAAGCCGAGAAATACTTGCTTTAACGTGCTCCAAGTGACACAGCATGCGCATTGATGGAGAGCAAACAGGCTTCAATTCCGATATCGTGTTGTAGCACTTTACATATGCATAAAATGCGTGTAAAGTCCGTGTATGTATGCCCTCATATTATTGATACTTAACATGTAATATCACTCGAGAGACATCAGTTATACAAAAGATTCACGAAAACTTGAAGCGTCGTCACAGTTATCTTACAAGCAAAACAAAAAAGTTTCTGTAGCGTTGATACAGATAAAAGTGGCGATTGTGATTAATTTCACACTTCACAGTCGAAAATCGTACGAAACGCAAGTATCATCAGGGCTCCTACTAAATTCCAGCTGAAAGTTATCGGGAAAAAGAACGATAAATTTCGAAGATGATAAGTTTCGAACGATAAGTTTCGGAGATGGTGACAAGGAGAGCGACTATATCGAGCGAAAACAGCGACTGGAATAGTCGAATACGATTAAGTTCAAGCTTTCAGTAGGTATGCTTAGCTTAAAAAATTGAAACATTGAAATGCCGAAGATAACATAAATATCAAATGAATACATACCCTGGGATTATCACTAGCAGAAGAACTCGCAGAAACCTCCGTCATTTCCGACTTCTGCCGATAAATCCGCCGACGGAATCAGCAGTTCAATTTCGCGCGGCCCGCGCATTAAATCAGCTTAGCAGCCATGCCTCTTTGCTTGTAGGAAAGTGACGTCACTGTAGAAATTCTACCAACTACCAGCACCATATATGGCGCCCGGAAAAAATAAGTAATTCCCCATGTTCTAAACGAGTTGGGGATTGGGTCCGAATTGGGACCGCAAAGCATCTATGGATTGTTTGAAGGGACAGATTTTCCAAATCAATATGGCTGAAAGCGAGAGCAAAGCCAAACTAACTGTTAAACTAACTCAGGAAGATATTCCTGGGGCAAAACTTCCAAGGGATTCTGTTGAAAAATGTAGCGTTGTCCAGTTGAAGAGGTGGCTGCTTTGCAGAGGTGCAAAAACGACGGGAACAAAGAAAGCTTTAGTGTCGAGGTTCGTATCGAAGCTGGCAACTTTTAAACTAAGAACCTTTACACGCAATAAGTTATTTTTATTTATAACAACTTTATTTGTAATTATATGCCTTTTCAGAATTATTATTAAAATTTCCTAAGAGTAAAAATTTAATATAATCGAAATTTTCGAATTTAATAAAGTCCTCTCGTACTTATGAGTGCTCTAATTTTGACTTATAGAGTACACGACTACATCAAGCATGGATTTGATGTTAAATACTTGCGTGATCCGGATGGCGGCGTCAATTTGTTACGGAAAAAAGCTCAACTTGGCGTACTTGAGAATCAAGAGCCTGAAGTAAAGGATTCATTCCCAAAAGAAGGATTCCAACCAGATATAAAGGCACTACCAAAAATATCATTTGGAACTGTGTGGAGATTTATGATCGAAGGTGTAGAATGTAAAAAGCAGCTCTCCACTGCTAAGCCACTTGTTAAAGGATTCAACTTTTTTAAATCTGGTCATGTCCTGTACATAGGCCACCTACAACAAAATGGCAAGCACTACATCAAAAGCCAAGTCCTCCCATCTATGAAAAAGGACAAAGTTTATACATGCTACTTAGTTATTAGTTCACTTGGAAAGATGCTAAGAGCCCACTGCAAATGCCCTGCTGGCATAGATGGGAGATGTAACCATGTTGCATCAACACTTTTTGCTTTAGAAAACTATTGTAAAGTAAGGGAAAAACTGGATGAGTCTGATGAGTCATGCACCTCCAAACCATGCAAGTGGAATGTGCCACGAAAGAGAAAAGGTGCAATACAGCCCATAAATGAGATGACTTTTGTGAAGCACGACTACACGAAAGAGAAGAAGATACGTAAGCTTCATCACTCTCCAGTAAATGCAAACCAAAATGCTTGTCGCGATGAAAACAAGTCAAGGTTTTTTGAAATGATGAAGGAGTACCAGAGGGTATCAGGAAACACTGTAGCTTGGACACATATACTGCCTCAGGAAGTAAAGAAACTTCAGGATGTAAAGGATTCTCTGCTTTCACCAGTCAAATGTCATCCCGTGTCAGCAAAAGAGCTAAAAGAAAAGTTTGAAAAAGCAAAGAGAAATCTTATGGTTGATGATTTACAAAGGCAAGATATTGAGGAACAAACTAGAGGTCAATCAAACACTGAATTATGGCATCGCCACAGACAACCAAGGATTACTGCCACAAAATGTTACCGTGTAGCTGTACAGAGAGAAAGTACGTCCCCTACTAAGATAATTAAAGATATACTTGGTTACAACAAGGCCTATCAAAGTAAGTCAATGGAGGAAGGACTGAAAATGGAAGACCAGATTATCAATGATTACAAGCTTCTCAAGCAAAGTCAAGGAGATGAAGGCATAACAGTCTCAAAATGTGGGTTTTTTGTTTCAAAAGAACATGGTTACCTTGGTGCTAGCCCCGATGGCCTTGTACATGATCCATCAGCCTCTGATTCAGAGGGACTTATAGAAGTTAAGTATGTCCAGACATCAAAGGATGAAACACTAGAAAAGGCATTGTTACGCAAGAGCATTTGCAAAAAGAACAGTAATGCATTGAGATTAAATGACAAACACAAATACTTCTACCAAGTCCATCAGCAAATGTTTGTTACTGGAAGAAAGTGGACAGATTTTGTTGTAAAGGGTTCAGGCTGTGATTCACTGTTTTGTGAAAGAGTACATTTTTCAATAGACCGCTGGAAGTCTATTTTGCCCAAGCTAGAATCCTTTTTTAATGACTGGATTGTTCCAGAACTTGTGTATCCTAGAGTCAAGTATGGAATTCCTAAATTGAATGCTCGTTCAGTTTAAAACAGTCAAAATCAATGTGTTCATTTCAGTAAAAGTGTGTAATTTAAGAAAACTATACAATGAAATAGGCAAATCAAAATTTAATGGGAATTAGTGGTTTGCCCAAATTATGTTGCACACTTTTTAGTACTATCAGAGTGTAAACAATATATTTGTGAAGGTAGAATGGTTTTCAAAAGCCTGTGAAACACGTACTAAGTTTTGTACATGTTTAGTGCTTTTCTGCTTAAATGCTTTTGTTTCTATTGTTTAATACTGGCACTATTAGAAAGTAAATAGTATTAATTGTTTCACAGGTTTTTTAAAAACCACCCTATAGGTATTTGCTATAGCTAAGATTAGATAAACTTTGTCTTGAAAGAAACAGCGATCTGTTTTGTCTATACACATTAACTCAGTATTTTTATACATTGTACACAGTTATGTTCATATTTGACTGAGTAAAATATTTACTAACTACATGTGTAGTGTACTTGGATTATTGTAATGACTTATAACCAGTCTGGTTACAGTCCAGTGGTATGATGGCAATATCATAATACATTATCAAACACTAGTTTATCAATGCTATTTTAATGCAAGGCAATAAAACATAAATCCATACCATTGTTAAGTATTAAAATGTTGCTTTATATTCACATAAATTTTAATTAATCAAAGGAGGGTAAAAATTAGAAAGTCCAGCCACTACAAATAACATATCAGATGCTATGGGGGCAAGAGTAATTGGAATTCGGTGGTCAAAGATGTGCCAATTCTTTATTCTCTCCATCAATCGCTCAACATGTACTCTCAAACTGGCAACAATCTTGTTGTGGTTGGTTTCTTCTTTTGAGAATTGTGTATCTTTAACCAAAAATGCTGGTCTAATCAGTTCTGCTCCCACAGAAGCAAGCTCATCAGTGCAGTTGAACCCTTTGTCTGCCATAACTTGATCATAAGGTTGTAACTTGTCCAACAGTCCACTTTGAGCTGTTATTTCCTTGTCAGAAGTTGAACCAGGAAATAGCTCACTGACAAAACATAAAGCACCACTGGGTGTTATACCAAGCAAGGCTTTCATCGTCGTTCTAGACTTGTATGACGAGTAGCAAGCAGATTGAGAATTAAGTGCTGAAGGTTTCTCCATCTCAAACTCTGTACAGTCCACAATAATGACACAGTCTGGATAGAAGGATTTGAAAATGTCAGGCATGTAGAGTTTGAGAACTTCCCTGGGTGGAATAGTAATAAGTGGCTCAAACTGTCCCCTCAGAAATCTCGTCCAGGCCCTTGAAACTTTGGATACAAGGGGTCTTGAGACACTAAACCGATGAGCAAGGTCCTTTTCCAGCAATCCAAGCCTTAATCTCACTAGTGTCAAAGTAAACTCTTGGAACTTGGTTAAACATCGAGGTCTGCCACACTGAATTCCTGGGTGCGTTCGTTCATGTTCATATTCAATATGCTCTGCTGCATCTTTAACCATGTCGAAACATATCAGCAGTGCATTATAGTCTGGTAAACCAGTATAAAAGGCAATGTCTTCAGCATTGTCTTTATATTTCTCAACATCGAAACGAAAGTTTTCAAGAGAGTGTCTTAGTCTTTTTGTTTCTTGCTCGAGTTTTAAGTTTGCCTCGAGTAGGTTTGCATTTTCTTCACTCAACTTGGCATTTTTCTCCAGCAGCTGATTCTTTTCATTTGACAATTCACTGATGTCCTTTTTAAGCTTTTGCAACTCCTTTAACATTGTTTCGATTTCCAATCCTGTGAGAGATGTTTGTGTCTCACGATTGTTCTCATGTTCGACTGTCACTGATGCTTGTGCCATGTCTTTCTTTTCCTCCCTCTTCTTCTTTTTTGCTTCCTGAATTGCCAGATTTTCTTCGAAGCTGATGACTCTTTTTAGCTGTCGTCTAGTGCTTTCTGCCTTTTTCCAAGGAAATATAGTCGGCAGATGAGCTCGACTGAGTTTCTCGCCACCTTCGAAATGGTCTGAGCAAATTCGAGTATTTGTGGAGTCCAATTTTAGCGAATCATTCTTCAAAATGACTTTGTATTGCTTTCTGGTAAACTCATCTTTCGGTAATCTGTAGAAATGCAGATGTGAAGCGTTCCTAAAGCTGTTTGTACAGCCAGGAACGCAACAATTATAGTGAGGCATTTCAGAATTACTTTGTAAATATGACTCGTCTGTCCCTTCAATCAATCCATAGATGCTTTGCGGTCCCAACTCGAACCCAATCCCTGACTCGTTTAGAACATGGGGAATTCTGTTACGCTTTTCGCGGTACGTCCGATAATTATTATTATTATTATTATTATTATTATTATTATTATTATTATTGTTGTTGTTGTTGTTGTTGTTATTATTATAATTATTATTATTATTATTACTATTATTATTATTACAAAGTTTCATCTGTTGCTAATTCACTTTTATGTTTGCAATAGTTAATTTTGATTTCAAAATTACATTGATAAACATTTAGTGGATCTCAGTTTAAATGTAAAACAGCAAGTTGTAGTGGCTTTATAATAATGCATCAGATGAGAAAGGTATTTTGTAGCCTTGTTGCATTTATTAGATATCTTTATCATTTATCGTCATCATCATCAATCATCAATTATTATTTTATTCCAGCTAATTTGGACAGCATTTTAAAATCAGCTGATGAACTCTTAAAGGAATGGCGTGCATCAAAGTCGCCAAAGCAGAACTAGGGCCAACGCACTGTCATCTTGAATGAAAATTGGGAGTCTGTGCGTGCTCTCTTGATGAATGCTGTAGTATCTGGTTATGCAGTGGATGAGACCCAGTGCATGAAATGTTTAGAACATATAGCCGAGGTCCGCTGTTACGACTGTCACACATACACAAGATTGTGTGGCCATTGTGACCAGTTGGTCCACGAAATGCAGCCATTTCATGATCGTGATGGGTCAACTGGTGGCTTTTTCAAACCAATCCCACCAACACTGTCTTTGGACTCTAATGGCAAATGGGTTTTAGTCGGTAAGTACAGCATAAGTTAGCAGCACATTATCCTTAATGATATGTACTATAAAATGCTTTTTTTTACTTTTATTTTGAAGCACTGTCACAATTACATTTTCTTTTTTGCTTATAAACTGCAATACAGCTATATAGGTTTTGCTGTGGGTATCGCAGCTAGTTTTGAATTCCATTAAATGGTTTAGATTCTGGGGATACAAATTGTCAATATTTTCTTTTAGATCGTTTGTTACCATCATCAAGCGCAAGTTTGGTCTGCCCCTACTGCAACAGTTCAAAAACTATCCAAAGAGTTGGAAAACATAATCGTTGCATTGTTATTAATTTAAGGGGTAAGATTTTAATTCATTCATGTTTTTTAATACTAAGCATAGAAAACTCTGCTACAGTCATATGAAAACTATTATTTAAAGTATCATTTGTTGTTTATAAAATTATGCAGTTAATTGAGTGAGTGAACCACACAACTGAACAGGCTATGTAACACTTCATCACATGTTAGCCTTACAAGAAATTCAAATACTTAGAAAATTGTCACATCAATTGTAGTAAATGTTGTTAAATATCACAAGGTACCTTTTGAAATTTTGGCATTTGAGTCTTCTCCTCTCTTTTTAGGTAGGTTTGATATGAACCATGTCCTGTTTAGATGCCTTCAGTGCCAAAAAGACCTACCCACATCCAATCCAGTTGTTGTTACTCAGCTTGGATTTTGGCCTGGTAGTGTCAGCAACATGACCTATGTTTTTGATCCAGAGGTTTTTTTACACTGGGATCTGTTCCAGAAGGAAAGTCCTGGTTGTTCCGAGAGATCTTATCTTACATCTCTGGAACAGTTTTCTTTAAGAAAAGGAAGGGTATGTTTTTCCTACAATGCTGAGTACTAAATTATTAAAACCCCTTTTCTATGCATTAAGGCCCTATTTCCCTCTTAGGGAAAAGGAAATGATGATGATGATGATGATGATGATGATGATGATGATTCTATGAATTAACCCAGGTAAAATGTCAGGCGGGATATAGGCGGGATCCCGGCAATCCCACCCAGGATCCCAGGTGGGAATGGCGGGATCCCGCCTTAGGTGGTGGGATCCCACCTTTCCCACCTGGGATGAAAATTTGATCCCACCTGGGATCCCGCATTTAATGCGGGATTCCTGCATCCCACCCGGGATCCTAGGTGGGACTTATGCATTCTACCCGGGATCCTGGTCGGGATTTACATATCCCACCTGGGATTCTTTATCCCAGCTACGAAAATATTGTTTTGCTGTTTTTATTCTTACAAAACGTTTTTGTGAGAGTTCCAATACTTATGGATCATCCACACACTCCGCAAATATTTGGCATGCAGACAAGACAGAGGTAGTCACTGTTCCCTTTGAGAAAATACACCTTTTAAATGACTTCTTCAATTTGCTTTATTTGAAACTCTGATCTGAAAATATTTTTAAAACAAGACTTGTTAGTAGTGAGAAGTACAAACCGAGTTTCTTTTCATAACTTAATTTCTTAAATGTCCCAATCACTGGACCTCCTAAAAAATATTACTTCTTTATATTTTTGGTGCAAAATACAATTCCTTCTTTACATACAAATGAAAAGTACAAGTCACAGTTCAATAATAACAGCTCTAAAGTTTACTTGTTGTTCTTCTCTGTGTCAGAGATCAACAAAATTTTTCTATACCTTGTAGGTCTGGTATAAAATTGTACTTGTAGTATAAAATGACAACCTTGTATCTTCGTTCTCTCCACCCCTTTCCAAGCTCGGTAACGCTTCGGACTGTGCATAACCATTTGCAGACGAGAATTCCAATGCACCTCTGTAATCGCATGTAGTTGCTTCTGTCTCTCGTGCAAATGTTTTCTCCGTTATGAGACGCACTTGACTCTGTTGGCACCACTGCTAGTTCACTGGAAAGACCGACTGAGGAATCGAGATGGCTAACTGTGTTGAAACGTGTTGCTGAACGCTTGTTGTGGTCAAGCCTTGTTGATTTGGGTACTGGTACACTGTGATCATCTAGGTATCTTTTATACTTCCTAATGTTATTGGCTTGTGTTGTTTCTCACCTTCGCCGTGAACATAACTCAAGTGGGTTTTGAGTCTTTCTTTCCTCGAAAACTTTCGGCCACAAATCGTGCATTCTTGTTCGATTCTTGTCGATTATTTCTACATAGAGTGAATTCACATCATTATTTATGTCATCATCAAAACATGAATCCAAGGTATCCACCATCTAAGAGAGGAGAACCGGTCAGAAGAGACAGAATAATGTTGCGCGCTTCTCTTGAGACTGCAATGGGTCAAGCCAGCGGATTCTCTTTGGTAAAAGGTCCACGTGATCATGCCCGTAATCGGAAACAAAGAAAACTCTATTTGGCGCTCATCTTTGAATGTACTTTTCATCGGTTAACCGCTCTTGCTTCAAGTTGTTTCTTTTCCCAACTGTTTTGCCTAATATAACACTTCTAAAGATTGGTTTTATTGTGGTTTAATGGGAAAACGAGAACAGCGTGAGTGTTTTAAATGAAAAGAAAGTCGTTGGCGCCGTGAACTTAAAAGAAGGGACAATTAACAGTTGACATATCGACTGGTTCAAACAACGATCGAGTGGCCATTTAAAGCTAGGATTTTTAGAAGTTTGTGGTGAGTACAAATTGCCATATTCGTTACGTGATCAAAATCTTATCAAAGAATAGAAATAACGGCTTGAATTAATCTTACCTAACACTCAGCGCAACTGAAACTCAAATAATTCTGAGAATCGAATTGGTCGCTTGCATACTGCAGTTTCCTAAGCTTACACTTTACAATGAAATAAATCTATGAGTAAGGTTTCAAGATTACTTTAGTCACATTTGGGAACATTCTGACCTTGCTTTGCTTTGAAAAATTCGACTGAAGAGAGAGCAGACTTTCAATCAGTACCTTTGTCAAAATTTTGATAACATGAATTATTGAGGTTTTGTCTTTCTTTTATTCTTTGATACACAACAGCCAATTTTTTTAAACGTTGAGCCTTATTACACTGTAGATGGTCTGCTTAAATGATGAAGAAAAAGTAATATGCTGAGTTTTGCTGTTATTCTTTAAGAATGTTCGGTTAAGAAATTTGTTAATGAAACAAGTCAAACACATGCTGGTTCATTGCAAATAAATTATGAGATCTTTATCACATATAGTCTGTGTATTCATGTACTGGTTGAATCATTTATGATCAATAGCTTGGTAAGACAATGGGATCCCATTGGAGGTGTCAGTATGTTCTATAGCTAATTGGAAAGTTTTGGACCCTCAGTGGATTGATGGGGTCTATAGCTCACCTAGAAAATTTTATCCTCTTAATTTTAAGATATCCTATCCAGTACATTTCATGAATCTGTGGTCTCCAGTGATAAACAGGATCCCTCAAAGGATTTTTCTGAAAGTGGGAAGCCATCTGTAATTTTATGCAGGGTCTAAACTGGGATTGGCAGGATCCCAGATGCAATCCCGCCTGGGATATGATTTCCCAGGTGGGAAACTATCTGAAATTTGAGGCAGGATCCTAAGACGGATTGGTGGGATTCTAGGTTTAATCCTGCCCGGGATGTGCTTTCCCAGGTGGGATGCTATTAGGAATTTAAGGCGGGATCCCAACTTCAATTGGCAGGATCCCATGTGGGATCCCATGCGGGATGTTCCATAATCCCAGGTGGGATCCCATGTGGGATGTTCCATAATCCCAGGTGGGATCCCATGCGGGATGTTCCATAATCCCAGGTGGGATCCCATGCGGGATGTTCCATAATCCCACCCGGGATGTTCCATAATCCCACCCGGGATGTTCCATAATCCCACCCGGGATCCCATGCGGGATGTTCCATAATCCCACCCGGGATCCCACCTGAAAAAGGCGGGATCCCACCTGGGACACACATGGGATCCCAGGTGGGATTGGCGGGATCCCACCTTATATTTTTACCTGGGAACTGCATGAAGCAGATATCATATTATATAATTATATTCGTGGTTATAGTCAACTACCTCTTAACAGACGCCTCTAAAGGATGGACACATTTCTTAGACGGACACCTTCTGTTTGTCCCGTACTGTAACTAAACGCCTTATAAGACAGACACCTCTCCAAGACGGACAACCCCTACTTTAAAAACCCTCAATGGACACTTGTGAAATATAGTTTTATGTGAATAATACCTCAAAACGGAAATGTACGTACTGAATATGAAAAGAAATCACTATTTAGAGAAGCAAATTTCTTGTCACGTAACTAAATATGTCAAGAAGAATTAGGGCATTGACAATTTCAAACATTCGCACAAAAGCAATGAATTTTCCAATAATATTGTGTTCCAGTTTGTAGTTTTTATGACTTAAAACACACTAAATACAGTTGTGTATTCATTGTGCATCAGCATCTTCAGTTAAGCTTTATTATCTCAGAATTGCTGGTCTCATGTTACCTCTATAAGTTTATTCTTTTTATTTAAAAAAACTTGCTGTATAGTTACTGTAAGGCAAACTAAATTTCCCTGAATGTTCCCTCTCTTACTTGTTACCATGTTCGTGGACAAAATTTTCATCTCAGCCTGGCCCTTTGTTGTTAAAGTCATTGAAATTTCATGCAAATTATCCTGCAAGTGCAAGTCATTTTCGCTTACCAATAATATATATTTTATTTCATGTCTTTTAGGTTGGAACCATCAACAGTAATTCCTTTTCATGTGCTTTTAAGGAGTGGAAATATTGCCAGTATAAGGTTAATATTTTACGCCACATGGATTGGATGAAGTGCCCAGCTTGTGAAGACTCTCAACATTCAGTCCATGTGGATGGAAATATGAAGCTTTACAGATTCAAGTCTGCTGGATCGTGAGTGCTCTGCAAAACCATTTTCTAGTTCTTAGGACTTCCTTCAAGACTTAAAATGTACCCTTCTTGGATAGTTTCCCAGCTCAAATGTCTTCTTTCAATAACCTTAACATTCATTTGTCCATCTGCCAAAATGGATATTGTTAAGTACATTAATTTATAATTTTACTAAGTTCACATTTCTGACTAGTTGTTTCATTTTCTAGGTAGTAGTTAATTAAAATTGTTTTTTATGCAGTCTATTTTTTTTTCAGAAGACAAAGAGATTGTTTCTATGGTGATGTCTTTGTTGCCTCAAACACAGAGGTTGACAAGCACATTCAAAAAGTGTACCAAGGCTCCAAACACAGTGTAAGCAACTATTCAAATTTCCCAGAAACTATCGGCTGTTAATATTTTTATGAGCCAAATGAATAAGTGATAGCAGTTCCTTTAGTTATCAAGGGAAAATAAGGTTGCGGGTAGTTTTAAAGCATGATAACTGTTTTTTTTTTATCTAATTACATGTTGTTATCATGTTGTCAACTTTGCAGACCAACAAACAAGATCAGAACAATTGTGGTGAAACTAACTGGCGAGCAGCTAGTAATACACTGCGCAAGAAAAAAAATCTTTCAGAGACTGGATTGGAAATAGCTGGATGCAGACACTCACTGGCACAGAAGGCTGTTAATATGATGTATGGTGAAATTTATGGGTATGCCCACTATCTTCAGAAATCATATTTTATTCCAAAACAGGTGAAGTACTTTTGGTATGATGTTGTTTGCAAGTTCTGGCCATGGCTTCAAAAGCATGATGGTGAATCGGCGAAAAATATGAAACCAGCATTATCCGTGATGCATGCCAAGGCCCACTCATGGTCTTGTCAGGTGGGTTATTGCTGAAACTGAATTAATTTTTGTTGAACTTCTCCAGAAATATGTTTTATGAATAGACAATTTCACATTTCAATATTAATAATATTAAAAGCAATAAAAATTACAATTACATTTACAATAACAATAATAATGATAATAATAATCTTAGTATTTCTATAGTACAAATTAACCCATAATTACCTTCATACTTCTTTCTGCTTGCAATTGTTATTTTTATGATTGCAATTTTTACTTTAACCTCATCACCAGCAGCAGTATAGAGTTATACACTTTTTCAATTCATGTGATCTTCAAACAAGAAGTGAGATATTATTGACCTGTAGATCAGAGTATGACTATGAGAATCCATACCAGTTGTCTCCCACTCAACTGGTCATCAACAGAAAAGAGTGTACGCTCCAGGGAGCATATCCGCATTGAAATTAAAAAAAATCATACTCATACTTTTTCTTGATCTCGTACTTCTACCGTTATCAATGGTTGTTATTAATGGCAACCACAAAATCAGTATCTGCCAAGTGCCATTTCACCAATTAATGTAGGCTGTAAGTGGTTACTTCTCTGCTTTCTTACTCAGAGGTCAGTGTTATAGGATTAGTAGAACAAAGAAATTTTCTGATTTTCCATGGTAGTTTCATGATATAAATAAATTCCAGGACATATCAATGGTGTTTCTATTCTTTTTTGATATTTAAATTGTGCAGGTTATCTGGGGTGGTAGATGGCAGAATGGTGCTTCTGCAACCACTGGAGAGGAAGTGGAGCAAATAAACAGACATTTCTCTCGACTAGGCACCAGCACTAAGCATATGCTTCCTGAAGGTATCTTAAGTTATAAATGTAACTATTAACATCTAATTTGTAGGTTTTCTTGTCATTCAGCTTTAAGTATTACCATACTTACACCTTAAGCATCTACTGTTGTCAAGTTAAGAAAAAACAGGTTAGAAACATAGTAGCACATACACTGGTTACAGCTCTTAGTTGCCATTCTTTAAGTGTTGGGGGTACTGAGTAAGTCACGCCCAGCTTAATTGAAGGTTTGCTGTTTTTCCACTTTCGTGCCATAATTTTCAGTAGAAGGTTTTTTCTTTCAACGCCAAAATGTAGTCAAGTATATATATATATATATATATATATATATATATAAATTTTACATTTACGAATTGTATAGAATGGAAACTTCTGAATCAAGTCAAATAAATGTTTAATTTTTTTATTTTTCTCTCTTTTTTATTTGTTGACCTCTTTTTTTTTTTTTCTTTTGTCATACACAGGACGAAAAGAATTGCTCACAGAGCATGCCCTGCAGTGAAATCGTAAAAAGGTTGAAATATTGCCTCAGTCTCTGGTAAAGTGATACACAAAGGTATAGGTATCATTATTTTAGCAGTAAGAAGCTTGTGTGGAATTCGCTTTAAGCCCAGTTGAAGTATGACAGTTTAACCTTTTTTTTTACGTAATAGAGAAATCTGTTACTCTTGGAGATATTTCCCTTTGTGGTTTCAGTTGTATTTTTTATAGATCATAGTTATTCAAGACATGCTTGTAACTTGTTTGTTAACACGTTGGCAGTGCATTGAGGGTAAACCAGTGTACTGTTCATTTTGCTAAGCATTTTAAGAAAATGTTGTATACCCCTCATGCACTTAGTGTCAAGTCTTGCCTCCACAGGTGAAGATGCAGCTATCCACCATAGAAAGTGAACTTTCAGGGATCCTCAAGGAGCTTCATGTTTCAGCTGATGTGCTGTCTTCCTGGAAGGAAGAGATCTATCGTGCTGCCCAGAGTAAGATTTTTGTTGGTACTTAGCCATCACTCCTGCCAAGTTAATAATGGTATTACTGAATATTTTCCACATTATTATGGAGATCTAAAGAAGTCTTTTTTTTTTTTTTAATGTATCACTTTGCTATTAACATGAACTGGTATTCTATTATTCTACATCATTGCTATTCTTGGAGAATTTATTATTGCTATATCGACACATACTTACCTTCTTTTAATACTCTGTTTCAGAAGAGCAGAGTTCTCAGTCCTCCATAAAAGTAATTATTTCACCGCAAGAAAAAGAGTTTTTGATAAAGACATCACAATCTCAAACCATGCCAACAAGGCTTAAGAACCTGTGTGAAGCTGCCAAGGAGTTGTATGGCCAGCAGTATGACCGAGTAATTGCAGGATCTTCTGCTGGTCATGAAAACGTGGCATGCACAAATGCTGGAGAAGTAGTTAGTGATGGAGAAAATATTTTGGTGGAAAAAGTCTCTACCCATTTAAGAAATCGGATGGAACGTCACCACTTCTCAATTGCTCAGATGGTGTACAACATGGCAAGGCTGGGAGGTTAGTTCTGACTAGATATATACAGTAGAGACCACGCTACTCAGACACTCATTTCCCGGGGGAGAGGAAGAACAATTTTTGTTAGCGGGGGTTTGAGTTAGCAGGGCAGATACTCTTCAAAGACAGACCTTTATTACCTTTATCATTATCGAATAAGTAATCCTACGCAGTTTACTTGTCAATGACATCTAGACAATGTCCAAACGTTGCTTATTACGGTAGCTGATTTTACCCAGGTAAAATGTCAGGCGGGATATAGGCGGGATCCCGGCAATCCCACCCAGGATCCCAGGTGGGAATGGCGGGATCCCGCCTTAGGTGGTGGGATCCCACCTTTCCCACCTGGGATGAAAATTTGATCCCACCTGGGATCCCGCATTTAATGCGGGATTCCTGCATCCCACCCGGGATCCTAGGTGGGACTTATGCATTCTACCCGGGATCCTGGTCGGGATTTACATATCCCACCTGGGATTCTTTATCCCAGCTACGAAAATATTGTTTTGCTGTTTTTATTCTTACAAAACGTTTTTGTGAGAGTTCCAATACTTATGGATCATCCACACACTCCGCAAATATTTGGCATGCAGACAAGACAGAGGTGGTCACTGTTCCCTTTGAGAAAATACACCTTTTAAATGACTTCTTCAATTTGCTTTATTTGAAACTCTGATCTGAAAATATTTTTAAAACAAAACTTGTTAGTAGTGAGAAGTACAAACCGAGTTTCTTTTCATAACTTAATTTCTTAAATGTCCCAATCACTGGACCTCCTAAAAAATATTACTTCTTTATATTTTTGGTGCAAAATACATTTCCTTCTTTACATACAAATGAAAAGTACAAGTCACAGTTCAATAATAACAGCTCTAAAGTTTACTTGTTGTTCTTCTCTGTGTCAGAGATCAACAAAATTTTTCTATACCTTGTAGGTCTGGTATAAAATTGTACTTGTAGTATAAAATGACAACCTTGTATCTTCGTTCTCTCCACCCCTTTCCAAGCTCGGTAACGCTTCGGACTGTGCATAACCATTTGCAGACGAGAATTCCAATGCACCTCTGTAATCGCATGTAGTTGCTTCTGTCTCTCGTGCAAATGTTTTCTCCGTTATGAGACGCACTTGACTCTGTTGGCACCACTGCTAGTTCACTGGAAAGACCGACTGAGGAATCGAGATGGCTAACTGTGTTGAAACGTGTTGCTGAACGCTTGTTGTGGTCAAGCCTTGTTGATTTGGGTACTGGTACACTGTGATCATCTAGGTATCTCTTATACTTCCTAATGTTATTGGCTTGTGTTGTTTCTCACCTTCGCCGTGAACATAACTCAAGTGGGTTTCGAGTCTTTCTTTCCTCGAAAACTTTCGGCCACAAATCGTGCATTCTTGTTCGATTCTTGTCGATTATTTCTACATAGAGTGAATTCACATCATTATTTATGTCATCATCAAAACATGAATCCAAGGTATCCACCATCTAAGAGAGGAGAACCGGTCAGAAGAGACAGAATAGGGAACTTAAGCAATGGACGTTTTCGGGGCGACGGCGACTTAGACCGGAAGTTAAATCATGACCCGTGCATTACTGCGCATGATTTAGCCAACTTCCCAGCCGTCGCAGGGACGTCGGCGACGTGAAGAGCGGGTGTTTGCCGTTGTGGTGAAAACGTGAGTGTTAGCTTTCTGTTTTGGTCATTTTTGTGACCTCTAACAAATGCTATTTTTCGAAACCTTACTTTTGATTTCATTGTTAATATACAGGTGACTTTTTAGCTCGATTTAACTGTTCTTTTTTGCCTTAAATTCGTCCTAACTTGTGAGTTACTCTTCTTTCTAGCTAAACGCATATAATGGCCAACTCAACAAGCACAAAATCGTAAGTGAGAATAACAATTGAATCTGTCTGTAGATTTGTACAAAAATATTCAGCCAGGGTGTACTTTGAACTCATTTCCTTGACCATTTCTATTTATTTTCAGCGGGAAAACAGTAGTTTACAGCGAATTGCGATAGTTCACTTCTCTACTAATACTGAAAGGTTTAGCTCTAAGTATAAACATGTAAACATGTTACAACTGCTTGGTCTCGCTAATTTCACGAGAATGTTATTTTAATACAATTCAGTGAAAAGTTCATTTTTAAAAACCTTTGGAAAGCGAGTTATATTTTCTTGAGAAATCAGTGCCTCCAATAAACTGAACTTTTCTTTAAACGGACATTTATGATTTGAGGGAGCTTTCCAAAGTACACAGCTGGATATTGAATTGTCTTTTTATGACAAATGTTTTTTTTTTACGGTCGAACCAGCCCAAGACTCCATGAATGGATCGATTATTTATATAAACGTTCTAGCTTTCGTTAGTCAGATTTCGAAATTCAGTATTCATGCATGCGTAATAAACAGCTAATTTGTGTCAAATTAAGAATTAAGAATTCGATATTACTGCATCTGTTGGAACTTTCTCCATTCAAAAGTTTGAAAGATTTTTCAATCTAACGAAATTCTGAGATGCTGTAGTTTCTAAAATTCATTGCTAATTACGCATGCAGGAATGCTGAATTTTAATTCTTACAACACAAAAATATGCAAATGATCTAGCCATAAATGGTTGCTATGGGTTTATTCTTGTCCTCGTTCAACTGAAAAATAGCTTTTCATGTCTAGTGTTAGAACTTTTACAATAATTGTTGTAAGGTAAAATTTGTATGTCTCATGGACAACCAGACAATTGCACCAGAATTTTAAATTAGCCTGTTTCTGTTCTCTGTTGCATGTGCAGCTATCAATCACAAATAAACAAAACAATCTTTTTTTGTCTTAATGTTACCTAGAACAGTGATGGAATGGACAAAGCAGCATGACAAGGCTCTTCTGGGTGAAATGACAATCAGTGATCTTTTTCAGTACAAGAAGGGCACTCCAGAAAGGGGTCAATTATGGGATTCTATTGCTGGTAATTTAAATGCAATGGATTACCCAAAGTTTAAAGTTGCAAAACGGTCATGTCGCGATCGTTGGACACTGTTACGCACAAAGTATAAAAGAAGGATGTCAGAAGAAATCCAAGCAACTGGAATAGATGCTGAGGTTGGAGAACTTGATGAGATCATTGAAGATCTTATTGGAAAAGAAGATGCTGCTATTGACAGTGATAAAGAAGGAAAGAAGAAAGCTGAAGCTGATAAAAAGGCAGCAGAAGAAATACGGATTAAGGCTATGGAACGGTTTGGAAACACCAGAAAAAGAGGTGGAGAGGATGGAGAGGAAGGAGCCAAAAAGAAAAAAAGGAGAAGTGGCAGTGATGCAGTAGAATTTCTCAGAGAAAAAGCAAAGTTAGAACATTCTCTGAGAGAGGAAGAGCTACAGTTAAGGAAAGATCAACAAAGCCAAACACTGTTGATATTACAGCAACAACAGCAGATGAATCAAGCATTGCTCACCCTCATGGAAAAAATGTTGCCTAAAGAGAGGAATTAACTGTTAATTACTGTAACTTAATTTGTTGTTGTTAGCCAATGGTGTCTTTTTGAATGGCACTTTGCAGAGAGAGATTTGAATTTATGTTCATTAACTTTCATAGGACAATGGTATTTATGAAAGAAATGTTTATATTTTCATGTTATAATCATTTGAATTTGCTTATTATGATAAATGCCTCTTGGAAACTTTGGTGGCTTCTCATTCATGCAGAAGCTGGTACGAAAAAAGACAAATAAGGCTTAAACATTTTGTTGTTAATTTATTGGTTAAAATTGTTGGACTGTACATGTTGAATATATGTTTATAACAAGTGTCTGAAATTTTGTGCCTCACAAACTCTGCTACACCCAACAACCCTTGACCATGATAGGTTTATATGCATTTTTTTTTTTTAAATCAGCTGATTGGGAGGGGCTGCTCCTCAGATTTCAAAAGGTAATGTCCAAGTTATTGCATTCCATAACTGTTTCAAATTATAAAATTTCATAAGAAGATAAAGTTCTCTTTTCTTCAACACATCAGCTATGCAAAATAGTCTTGCAGGGTGGGAGGCTCAAGGTCAAAAAATGTTGCAGTATTGTTGCCATACAAGCAACTCAAAGCATTTTGCAGAAGTGCACAAACAATGTACATCTTTCCAATACTGCTCATTCCTATCTTGAGATTCTTTTTAAAATCCATGAACTTGAAATATTCTATGATATCTCCAAATAACCACTCTACAGACACCCTTACTGAACTCATTGAACTGTTGTATGCTTCCATCAAGGGAGTAAGGTGGGGGTTCCGGAATGGCCCCTGAAGATGGACTCTTAGGGGGTAAGCAGGGTCGCCATACAAACACATCGGTAGCCCTGTTGCTGAGTAGGCATAGGCTTCCAGGTTGTGAAGTAGCCCAGAATCATGCAACATCCCTGCATCATGCCTCCTACCCTCTAAAGTAAAGAAAAAAAAAGTAATAAACTTAAGGTACTTACTATATAGTTCAACCCATAGCTTCCTAATTTTAATATACAGCAACAGAAGTGATAGTAGTGATCTTTTGTTCTTACATTTGCTCCAAACTTCTAAGATCAAGCAGTACTTTTTATATACTGCCATATATAGGCAAATGACTTTTCATTAAATTTTAGCCATGTCCTTTAAAAACTGCATCGGGTTATTCAAATCAATGCTACCCCTATTTTTGCAAACAGTATTAAAGTAATATTGTTCAATGGCACTTACCCACAGGGCCAAACATATTGGCAATGAGCCCATTAGGTATGGCAACCGACTGAAACTTGAGAGCATGTACTCTCTTGTGCCCATTGTAAACGATTCTCTGCATATCTCCTGGTTTGGAGATCGGTCGTACGGTACCATCAACAAAGCCAAAACAATTGTCTAGAGCTGCTCCTTTTTCTGTGATGACAGTGGCATATTGTTCAAGCAATCTGGGATTCAGTATAGTGTCATTCCACTGAGTAATTCGGTGGCCATGTGCATCATAGATAAAATCCATGACTCGGTTCGTGATCATGCACAGTTCAGGAACAGGTCTTCCAAAACGCGCGATCATATCGCTGTAACGACGTTTTAGTAGCATACACAGTACTTCCATTCCATCGCATATAGTCCTCTGTGGGCATTTGAAAGTGGGTGGAATCCCGAGTACTTCTCTTAGTGTAGGAAGATCTCTTTTCTCTACGCGAAATTCTGCTTTGCATTCGGCTTCATCTATGTTTTCGAGGTCGAACGGACCATAACTGTCCCAAGGAAAATCTGGGTTGCTTGACTGATTGTTTTCCCATAAAACGAGAAATTTATCATCGGAAAGTAAATTTTCAGCATAACACAGCAGTGTTAATTCTCTCGTTTCTTTAAAAGAAGTCATTTTTTTCTTTGGAAAGCCACTCCGTCGCCGTCTGAATGAACTTGCCGCTTAAACAGTTGAATTTGGCGGGAGGCGACGGCTACATCGGTCCCAGCTTCCCTCTGCCACTCCAGTCGCCGTCGCCCCGAAAACTTCCGTTGCTTAAGTTCTCTAATAATGTTGCGCGCTTCTCTTGAGACTGCAATGGGTCAAGCCAGCGGATTCTCTTTGCTAAAAGGTCCACGTGATCATGCCCGTAATCGGAAACAAAGAAAACTCTATTTGGCGCTCATCTTTGAATGTACTTTTCATCGGTTAACCGCTCTTGCTTCAAGTTGTTTCTTTTCTCAACTGTTTTGCCTAATATAACACTTCTAAAGATTGGTTTTATTGTGGTTTAATGGGAAAACGAGAACAGCGTGAGTGTTTTAAATGAAAAGAAAGTCGTTGGCGCCGTGAACTTAAAAGAAGGGACAATTAACAGTTGACATATCGACTGGTTCAAACAACGATCGAGTGGCCATTTAAAGCTAGGATTTTTAGAAGTTTGTGGTGAGTACAAATTGCCATATTCGTTACGTGATCAAAATCTTATCAAAGAATAGAAATAACGGCTTGAATTAATCTTACCTAACACTCAGCGCAACTGAAACTCAAATAATTCTGAGAATCGAATTGGTCGCTTGCATACTGCAGTTTCCTAAGCTTACACTTTACAATGAAATAAATCTATGAGTAAGGTTTCAAGATTACTTTAGTCACATTTGGGAACATTCTGACCTTGCTTTGCTTTGAAAAATTCGACTGAAGAGAGAGCAGACTTTCAATCAGTACCTTTGTCAAAATTTTGATAACATGAATTATTGAGGTTTTGTCTTTCTTTTATTCTTTGATACACAACAGCCAATTTTTTTAAACGTTGAGCCTTATTACACTGTAGATGGTCTGCTTAAATGATGAAGAAAAAGTAATATGCTGAGTTTTGCTGTTATTCTTTAAGAATGTTCGGTTAAGAAATTTGTTAATGAAACAAGTCAAACACATGCTGGTTCATTGCAAATAAATTATGAGATCTTTATCACATATAGTCTGTGTATTCATGTACTGTTTGAATCATTTATGATCAATAGCTTGGTAAGACAATGGGATCCCATTGGAGGTGTCAGTATGTTCTATAGCTAGTTGGAAAGTTTTGGACCCTCAGTGGATTGATGGGGTCTATAGCTCACCTAGAAAATTTTATCCTCTTAATTTTAAGATATCCTATCCAGTACATTTCATAAATCTGTGGTCTCCAGTGATAAACAGGATCCCTCAAAGGATTTTTTTGAAAGTGGGAAGCCATCTGTAATTTTATGCAGGGTCTAAACTGGGATTGGCAGGATCCCAAATGCAATCCTGCCTGGGATATGATTTCCCAGGTGGGAAACTATCTGAAATTTGAAGCAGGATCCTAAGACGGATTGGTGGGATTCTAGGTTTAATCCTGCCCGGGATGTGCTTTCCCAGGTGGGATGCTATTAGGAATTTAAGGCGGGATCCCAACTTCAATTGGCAGGATCCCATGTGGGATCCCATGTGGGATGTTCCATAATCCCAGGTGGGATCCCATGTGGGATGTTCCATAATCCCAGGTGGGATCCCATGCGGGATGTTCCATAATCCCAGGTGGGATCCCACCCGGGATGTTCCATAATCCCACCCGGGATGTTCCATAATCCCACCCGGGATGTTCCATAATCCCACCCGGGATCCCATGCGGGATGTTCCATAATCCCAGGTGGGATCCCATGCAGGATGTTCCATAATCCCACCCGGGATCCCATGCGGGATGTTCCATAATCCCACCCGGGATCCCACCTGAAAAAGGCGGGATCCCACCTGGGACACACATGGGATCCCAGGTGGGATTGGCGGGATCCCACCTTATAATTTTACCTGGGTAGTGTTAAATTATTATTATTATTATTATTATTATTATTTTTATACCTTGTTACAGTTTGCACGAGAAATAAGAGACTAGAACAGAAAAATCTGGCTATTCTTTGTTGCCCCCCCCCCACAGTCATTTATTTTATAACCGTACCTACTAGACTTTTTTGTATATTAGATTCCAGTAAGCAGAGGACAAGGATTCGGCGAAAAGTTTCCATTGAGAAGGAATTGTTGCAGAAGGTTGTCACAAAGTATAATCAACTGGTTGGGGAAAGTGCCAAGGTTTCCCTAGAAAGCATTGAGAATGGAGTCTTCCCGTGGCATGTAACTGTTAGCTCAGTGGATGACCGTGGTAAGAACAACTGCTAGTCCCGCATTTTTCTTTAGTGATTATGTATTTGCCTCACGGTTTTAAGCTATTGCTGATCAATGCTTATTTATCAGTTGCATTATTTGACAACTGCAAGATATGCTAGTAGCCCGTCTTTCCATGTTAACAAGTTTTCCTACAGTTTTCTGAAACGCTGTTTTCGATTCTGTTTAGATTTGTAGCATTCATCTGGAGTAGTTTTATTTGTTTGTTGTTTTGATGTTAAAACCACCTTTATTTGTATAATGTAGTTCCTCGGAGTACCAAGAGAGCGGCAGTGGAAAAGCAAATGGAAATCGATAGGTTCAAAGAGGAGCTTCCGCTGATAAAGAGAGAGATGAACTCCTTCATTTCGTTCTACAAGGATCGAATCATTCCTGAAATTGATAAGAAGAAAAAGGAGTTACAAATTTCTTTAAATGGTAACAGTGTATACTATGCCATGTCCCATTTCCATAGCAAAGAAATTTAACACTCCAACTTCTTTTTGCTTATTTAACACCTTAACTCTTAATCTTGAAGTGGTTTTGCCCGTAAGGTTTGGTTAAACTTGCCGAGATAGCTTTGGCGAGTAGTAAGACCTATTACACCTCTCTACTACTTTAACGATGATCAAAATTTAAAGTTAAACAATTTTCCTCTTTTGCATCATTAAAATTTTTTCCAACCTAATTTTTGGCGTGGAGATTATTCATTTGGAGATTGACTCATTTTATTGTTAGATGCCGTAGATACAGGTTCTCAAGTGTGTCAATTAGATGAGGATTGCACTACTGCAAGTGAAAACAACTTTGTGGAAAGAGTAAGATGCGATAAGGCTTACGCTTTATACTTTAGATGCTGGATCTGTCGTACTTTGTTTCTTGGTGCTGTTAAGTTTTTCAATATCATTGGTGATGTAGCTGTCCATGGCTGCCGTTATGAATAAATCGAAGGGTTGGAAACACCTCGGAAAATCGACTACCTCTAGTTACGACCACCACTGTTAATAAAAGCTCTCGTAAGCGTCTGCTACAACTTTTGGAAACCATCAACTGGTCTTTTTCCCTTTCAAGCTCTCAAAGGTTCTGAGTTGTATTGCTACTTGATCACATTACCTGTTATACAACTTTGCTTTATAAATCTTGTTGATGGGAATGTCCAATGTAAAATTAAAGATGATTTACAAACAAATAAGGAGTGTTACTCAAAGACCCTGGTGACCAAGCTTTCAAAAAGATCTCTCAAGCTCCCGAAATTTCTTGTTTCAGCGTGTAGTCGCTTACAAGAGCTTCGACTGTAGGGTGCATTCACGCACGCACGCACGCACGCACGCATGCACGCACACACACACACACATACCTATCATTGGAATTTAAGCTACGCCATGCTTAGTAGGTCACACAAGCCGAAACAGCGCTCTTTTGTTTCTTTTATTTAGGTGTCAGATTGTGCCGCTCTTTCTATAAGTGGAAAGGTGACCAAGGGAAAGATTTCTTTGTTGGAAGAGGGGAAGGAGTTCTGCTTGAAGCAGATTGCACCTGGCTTGAATGCTTTTTCGTCAGTGTTATCAAATGAGTTGCCGTCATTTAAAGAGCTGGCTGTTAATTCCGAGGACGATGGTTCTGAGCAGGAGGAAGAGGATGATGTTGAAGATGTGTCGGAAGGCGAAGAGGATGAAGGGGACGAAGACGACCTAGGTGATCTACAGGAAGAACAAGTAGCGGGTGCCATTCGAGCTGATGATGAACTGACAGAGTTCACTGATGAACTGCAGCCGTTTCCTCCTTTGCGTTCTGAGTTGATAGGTGAAAACATATATGTTTGGCGTTTCCCTCAGGACATCAGTCAGAGTACGTTTAACAAACGTAATGGAAGTAATGCATGCAGTTTTATTTCTATTCTTCTCGCATGCCTTTTTAAAAGGAAAAATATGCAGATTCCAGAGGAAGGATTTCTGCCTAGTAATGTACTCCAAATATTGTGCGGTTGTATTGAGATAGGAAATCGAATGTATGACATTTGTCGGGATAGCCTTCCCAGCAGATATCTGTCTGTTCAAGAAGCTGCTACTCTCGTATCCTTCTCCAATATGCATGTGTCTGTAGCAGAGCCCTTACCAGTAAGATTGGAAGATGTTCACGAGTTGTCCACCTTGTGTGGGCAGTTACGTAAATTGACCGACGATAAAATCTACTTTTTAAATATTGTAATTAACGAGAAGACCTCTTTGTTTGTGCTTACTCCACCGAATATCATGTATATTGACACACATCTTCACGGATCCAGTGGTGCTGTCATAGTAAAAGGCTCCACATTGAATTTAAGTGACTTCTGTAAGTTTGTGTGGGCTTTGGAAGAACATGACCAAAGTACTTTTGGATATATATGAATATGTTCAGGTTGCTGCCCGCTAACAGTAGATCAACGATTGTTTGATGGCAATAGTGCCCTGCATACCCACGTCGCCAAGCACACGGGAAGGTCTCCAAGGTCGCTCTCTCGTAAACCCCCTAGGCTTACACGCATCTTGTAAATATCGTTCTACGTAGTTTTGCTCTTTGGGCGCTGGTCAACAGGACTTCAGCACAAGTCCCAGATGTAAACAAAGCTTCTTTATTGAAAAATAGACAGTGAACGGTTAATAATGCCTTGTCATTACTTTTGTTAATACCATTAAATATTAATTATAAGTTTATTATATACCTTTCTTAATCGGTTTTATTCCTTTTTTGGCACATATTAAAACCTGTTGTTGTTATTATCATGGTCTTGCTATGGCAATATCCATCATTTTTGCAGTTGGCGGCATCTACCGTTACATCGACATAAAGGCGTGGCCATGCCAATCAACGCAGCAAAATTAAAATTGGGTTAACATGTTAGTCATTTGACGTGGCAGGTTAAAAAGACCTTAAGGGTGCCCCCCTTGGTGTGGCTTAAGTAGATTGAGACCCAATTATTCCCTTGTTGAAAATAGGTTTTTGCTTTTACTTTGCTGAACAAGGGCAAATGAAATTAGAACTGGTCTGAGAAATTTTAACCCCTTGATTCCTGATAAACGTCTTCATTTTACATTTGCCTGGAGCACACAAAATAGTCAAAAAAATGGGTGTCTATTTGTCACGTAGTCATTTGATAATAACGAAAGCGAAAAAAAAAATCATGATTCCCTGCAGGCACGTCTTAGAGGGAATTCCTTATTCCCTTCATTAGCTGTAATGTGCTTTGTATCATGATATTGGATGCGGTGTGGGCAATATAAGAACCTATTCCTTTCTTTCCGTCATTTGCCGTACAGTGCTTGCAATTTAGGTGCGTTTTGGACAATATTACAGCGTATTTACATCGAGCTACGTTCGGATAGTAAATTCTCTGATGTGCGAATACGTCCTCACTTTCGTGGACATAGATCTACGTTCCAATCTCTCTTCTAATGTTCTGTCAAAAGGTCCTTTCTTGCCGTAATTTGCTTTAATGTGCTTTCATTTGGGGTTATTTTTGGGCAATATTAAACCCTATTCGCATAAATCGACGTTCTCATCCCACTTTCACTGATCTGCGAAAAGGTCCTACCATTTGTGCATTTGCCGTAAAGTGCTTGCAAATTGGTTGCGTTTGGACAATATGAGATCCTATTCACATAGATCTACGTTCTAATGTCTCTTCCACTGTTCTGCGAAAAGTTCATTCTTGCCGTTATTTGCTTGCATAGATCTATGTGCTTGCATGTTGGGTGCGTTTAATTGAGGGCAATATTGAACCCTATTCACATAGATCTACGTTCTAATTCCACTTTCACTGTTGTTCGAAAAGGTCACGCCTCTCGTACATTTGCCGTAAAGTGCTTGAATATTGGGTGCGTTTTGTACAATATTAGACCCTGTTCACATAGATCATGTTCGGATCGTAATTTGCTCTGATGTGCGAATTTGTCTTCACCTTCGTACATTTACCGTAAATTGCCTGCATACTCACTGGTTGCGTCTTGGGCAATGTTAGACCCTATTCAGATAGACCTACGTTCGAATCGCACCAATTCACTGTCATTTGCCTTACTGTGCTTGCATATTGGGTGTGTTTTGGCCAATACAAAACCCTATTCACATAGATTTACGTTCTATTCCCAGAAAAGGTCCTTCCTTACTTTCCTTTTGTGCATTTGCCGCAAAGTGCGTGCAAATTGGTTGCGTTTGGACAATATTAGACCCTGTTCACAAAGGTCTACGTTCGGATCGCAATTTCTCTGTTGTGCAAAAGGTGCTCACTTTCTTACATTTGTCGTAAAGTGCTTGCATATGAGATGCTTTTTGGACAATATTATTAGACCCTATTCACATAGATCTACGGTGGGATCGCAGTTTCACCGGTTTGTGCGAATAGCTCCTCGCTTTCGTACATTTGCCTTGAAGCGCTTGTATATTGGTTGCGTTTTGAGCAATATTAAACCCTATTCACATAGATCTACGTTCGGAATGCGCTTTCTCTGTTGTGCGAAAAGGTTCCCACTTTCGTACATTTGCCGAAAAGTGCATGCAGTTGGGTGTGTTTTGGAAACTATTCTGCGGAACGGTTCTTATACTTTCTGTCATTTGCCATGATGCGCTTGCATATTGCTTGCGTTTTGGGCAATATTAAACCCTATTCACATAGATCTACAGTGCCAAGCACCGAACATTCACGGCGTAGGTTGAGTTCACCTGGCGAACTTATGACTTCGGGTAAAGAAGGTAGACACAACGGATACCTGTACGATCGACAATTGCAGCCGAAGAACAATGTAAAGCCTTAGATCTCTGCTAGGTCCCTAGCAGAGCATTTACAAGGCAGTTAGGGTTACCCTGGCGCTAGGGTAACCCTAGCAGTCATGTTAACCCTAGCTACCTTGTACACGAGTCATCGAAAAAGAGAAGAAGTGTGCGAATACCAGGGTAACCTTCTTGTTAGGATAACCCTAGCAATAGGGCTATCCCACCTGCTTTCGGCAATTGGTCCCCAGTGTAGTTCATTATTGGGTGCGTTATGTTGGACAAATGGACACCTTTGGGATAGATATCTCTTATCAAATTACATCTTTATTGTTGTGAGAAATATTCATTGATTTCCACGGTTTGTCGTCAAATTTTTGCATATTGGGTGTGTTATAGATACATATTAGATCTCGTTCACATAACTCGATTTTCACCTTGGTTCTGATGAATCTACACGCAACGGCAATGTTTCGTCTTGAACTGCCCATTACAAAAATAGGGCGCTTGCCGTTCACTGTAGGTCATGCCTGAAAGACAGCAAAGGATTTACCAATTCTAGGTATCCAAATTATGTTGCGAGACATTGCTCAATATATTTTCACAATATTCTAGAATTCTACAGCGCTCGTTGGACCTTGTAATATCACGAGGGACATATCGTCAAAGCCCAAAAATTGGTAAATTTCGGAAAGGTGGTGCCTTTTCATTTCATGCTAAGTGTCCTAAAACAATGTGATTTTAATAAACATGTCTATGCGAACAAGGTCCAGTATTTGATCATAACACACACTATATGTAATTCAACGGAAATGTCTGAGAATACAGAATACGGAATACGGGCTATCTTACGAAACGGTTAGTCAACAGTCCTACTGTAGGTTGGTTCATTGTCTGAAGGACAGTACTTCATTTTTTTTCTTCCGAGAAAAAAAGATAAGCTACAAGAAACTTCACACTTTGCTTGTGCACTTCCATAATTTTTTCTACAAGCTGGTATAAAAGGAATTAATCTAAGAAATATTTCATTTCAACCATAACAGCGCCGAAATTAATGTATTGTTGGTAACATATATTGCTGTAAATTGGAGTTGATGTTCTTAGTAGCATAAAACGCAAGGCCTTAATTCAATGTATATACAAAGTACTTCTACAAATTTAACTGTTTAAAGGTAGGGGTGAAAGGAAGAAAGGTAAACCTCAGAAGAATATTCTGCGAAGTAACACAGCAAATAAGGCAAGCTTCTTTAGTACTTGACAGCTAATTACAAGTTCATTCAGTGAACACAAGGAAACCATTGTAGCAACATTACAGCAAAACACCCCCAATTTAAAAAGGAACAAAAAAAGTGATCCCCTAACACACAAATCATTATTATAAAGATGGAAAAAAGTTTCGACATGTCGTCATGCAGAAGGACAAGGTGTCCTGTTTCTGTGGAAAAGCACGTACATGTGACGGTTAATAATCGAACGGTGAGCAATTCCTCCATATCCAATCAGATCACATACGCCAACTAACCTAACTAAAAAAATCACGAGAACTTACGAAAACGTTGGCAGTTTTAACTTTCATTTTAACAAAGCGTGAGACTTGTCGTCGCCGTAGAGGCTGCTTGATTTCCTCCGTCGACGACTCTTATTTTCGCAAGCTGTGCCCTTGGCAAAGCAAAGAAGCGCCCGGGCGATAATTGACTGTTTTCTTCTTCATCTCCCAATACGATAGGTGCAGCCACTCCTCCTTCCTGGTTAGCCACCCAAGTTACCTGCACCACATCAAAGCCTTGTGGTACAGGCTTGCCATGAAGGGTGTGCCGCTGGGGACAAAGGTAGCCCACTGCCACATTTTTGGTATTCTCTCGGTAAAAAACCACAGTTGGCCGAGGGCTGCCAACCGACGTCTCGTCGGGCAGTCCAGACCTACAAAGAAAGAAATGATACAAAGTCACGGAAAAAAATACGTAGTAATTTTGAACGTTTATAGCGTCAAAATAATACATACATTTTGGCACTTGAGAAGTGAGGCCTAGATTTGTTACTAGCGCGTGATTACAGCGTACCGACGATCGAAGTATACAAATGATTATGCCCATCGATTACAAACTTGCCTTTGCCATAATGACGTACTTCACGTAGTAATCCAAAGGTTATTGCATCAAATCATTTTCAAAAACTTTTTCTTTTTTTTTCCTAAATGGAAATGAATTGGTTGTCTCGAAAGTTCGGCTTCATAACTTCATGATTTATCACACGAGATATAAATACACTGTGACAGGATTTAACCACGATATTACTTTGTAGTACCGTTTTCCGGGGAGGTTGCCACTGTCTCACAATCCTGCTGACAAGGCATATCAGGAATGGCATTTATGGCTGGTAAAATACAATTCAGTGATATTTATTTCAGGGGGACATTTAAAATAGTATAACATCTCATTCTAATAAATAGTGTATTAAAATCATTATCGACGAGAGGGTCAAAAGTAGCATCACCTCGATTTTCCTTTCTAACTTTTAACAAGCCAAATTGAATTTTTAAGCAGAGGTAGCACAGCACTTGACGATAGCCTTTCATCTGAATGTCATTTGGAATTGAATGGCATCAGGTTAAATTAGTTGTTGGGGTTTGTACTGCATGATACAT